TGGCGGGAGAGATAGGCTGCTGCCATCCCCTTTGCCCGTCCCTGCCTGCTTGGTAGTCTCTGGCTCTTCTCCCACCCTGGGGAGATCGATGACGATGGGCAGATGAACGAAGGAACGAGGGCCAGGCTGGTTGGTGTCAGTTGCAGTTTATTCCATTCCCAACTCCATTCTCCCTTGATTTTCCTCCTGCTTCTTCCTCCCCCATGCTACTTCATCCTCCTTCTGGATCCCCCTTTATTCTCCTTCTGCCTCCTACTTCATACCTATTCTCCCGCCCCCAGCCACCTCTTACAGCCTAGTTAAATCCCAAAGAAGAGGGGTTGGGGCTTACACATAGGTGTGGTCATACAAGCAACAGAGGTAAAGTTCTTCCCCCAGGGGAAGCTTCTTATAAGACAGATTCTCTCCCAAGACTGAAATTCCAATTATGGGTGTGTTTTTCCTCTCCTTAGTCCAACAAACATACAAACTTTCATAATATTGATCATTTTGTATGGACACAGAGGTACATTAAGCGGGGCCATCTCGATCTCAGACTACAGTGCTCAGGCCAGATTAGTCTTTTCTTAGCAGGGTCCTAATCTCATCGTTACTTTTTGGATCATGACATCATTTGTCCATGATTAAGCTCTTAATGTATAGTTGTGCTTTGGCCTGGCCCATTCTGATGCCAGAGTAGCTCACAGCTTGCCCTGGGTCCATTCAGTTCCACGGGACCCTGCTTTTGGGGTGTTAGGAACTAAGGGCAACTGAGGCTTAAGTCAAGAAAGCAGATGCCCAGGAGTGAAAATTATTCAGAGTCAATTAACTCCCAAGTTACAAGGCATAATATTAACTATCTTCCTTTGTCCATACAAAAAGGACCTTGTTTTAATGTCACTGTCACAGTCCTCCCCTTGTTCATCGATTTGCTCGAGCAGGCCTAGTAACATTGTGAGACTTGTGGCTGTGTTTGGCATATCGAATACATCACGGATAGCTTACCAGCCTTTGCCATGCGGGTGAGATTCTCTCGATAGCTTGCCGGGCTCTCCAAGAGGGGCAGAGGAATCAAACTCTGGTTGGCCAAGTCAGCCACATGCAAGGCAAATGCCCACTGTGCTATTGCTCCAGCCCTGTTTTAAAGTAAACTGTTCAAAAGATACAAGGAGAGGAGAAAGGCAATATTAATTTACAATAAAAGATCAGTGTCCTTAGAAGGATCTGACCTACAAGTTAACAGAATCTTATTAGGGGAAAAAGGTGATTAACTGGTTGGGGAGGAGAGCACAGAAAAGTTACAGATGAGCACACAAAGGAATGGAAGTCACTCGGGAGCACTGTGATGGGTGTAACCTGCTAAACCTAAGCTCCCTGTAGCAAGGAAGAAAGAGTAAACCAATGTTATTCTACAAAGCAGTACTCAGAGGGCCTCTACTGGGGGCCTCCACTGGCAATTCGCAGTCAGCTGGGCCCGTGCTTCAGAGCGAAAGTGCCTCATGATCACTGTCACTGTCATCCTATTGTTCATCAATTTCCTCGAGCAGGCATCAGTAACATCTCCCTTGTCCTAGCTCTGAGATTTTAGAAAGTGCCACTTTCGAGGCTCTTTCAGGGTCGGGAGAATGAGACCCATCATTGTTACTGGTTTTTGGCATATTGAATATGCCACGGGGAGTTTGCCAGACTCTGCCATGTGGGCAGGATACTTTTGGTAGTCTGCCAGGTTCTCCAGAGTAAGAACTAGATAAGACGTCTTCCGGGAGCTAGGTTTTATAGTCTCTGGGTCTTGGCTGTTGATGGGATTACACAGTGCCGGGGGCAGTTGGTGGGTGTAATGCCTACATACTGAAAGATGGGGGATCTGGGTGGAGGAGGCCCAGTCTCAATCCAAGCAGGTTTGGAGATCTACACCCCAGGTCCCACATACCTGGGTTCCTCTGCCGGTTCCTTCATGAGTGAGACTCCTCTGAACCTGTGTGGAGAGTGATTTTAAGCATGGCTGTGGCTGGAACCAGAGATCTTCAGCTGCCGGGGCTCTGCTCAGGGTGGGGAGCAAATCTCAACCCACCCTCCTCCACGGGGCCCCTGTGAGGACAGCCAGGCGCGGAGGCAGGAGACTGTGCTGTTCTCTCTCTCCTCCACTCAGATCCCCCCATCTTCCAGTATGTAGGCATTACACCCACCACCTGCCCCCCAGCGCCGTGTAATCCCATTGACAGCCAAGACCCAGAGACTATAAAACCCAGTTCCTGGAAGAGAACAGCGAAGAGTCTCCTGCCTTCGTGCCTGGCTGTCCTCACCTGGGCCCCGTGGAGGAGGGTGGGTTGAGTTTCGCTCCCCACCCTGAGCAGAGCCCCGGCAGCTGAAGACCTCCGGTTCCAGCCCCAGCCATGCTTAAAACCACTCTCCACATGTTCAGACGAGCCTCTCACGGTTCTGAAGGAACCGGCAGAGAAACCCAGGTGTGTGGGATCTGGGGCGTAGATCTCCAAGCCTGCCTCAGGATGGTATACGATATTGCTGGACCCTGAGATTCTAGGGCATATCTATGCAAATTCTGGTGGTGCTAGAGGCCTCAGTGCCACACCTAGTAGTGCTTGGGGGGCCTCCAGGGCTGCTCTTGGTGATGTCTGGGAGACCACATGGTGCTCAGAATTGAACCGGCATCAGGCATATGCTGGGTGTGCACTCAGCATATGTGTACTATCTACCAACCCCCCAATTATTTTTTGAGGAGGCAATTTCCCAGCAATGCTTGGGAGACCACGAGATGCTGGGGTTTGAATCTATAGCCCTTTACACACCAAGCACATGCCTCAGCCTTTTGAGCTATCTCCCAACAAGAGAACATCTTTAGATCAGCATAAACTGGAAGAAAAACAATAGTGAAGGTACTTCATGCAATTAACAGCCATCAGAAAGCTGGAGAGGCTGTCAAGAGTAGATAATAGGCCAAAGGCTGGGGAGACAGTTCAGTGAGCTAGAGCACATATTCGGTCCCTCAAATACTGAGCTATAAAACAACCCCTGAACTCAACCAGGTGTGGCCAGGCCCCCTAAAAAGGTGGGTACTAGGACTCACTGGATAATTATGCTCTAAAGCCCCAATTTTTTGTTTGATTTTTGGCTTTAGGGTCGTACCCTGCAGTGCTCAGGGGTTACTCCTGGCTCTGAGTTCAGGGATCACTCCTGGCAGGGCCCAGGGGGTCATATGGGGTGGCATGGATTAAACCCACATAGGCCTCATGGAAGACAAATGCCCTTGTGCTATACTATCTCTCTGCCCTCTTAAATTTTTATGCCCATTAAACAGTCATGCTTTCCATTGAACTTGAATTGATGTGATAAATTTGAACTCAATAACCCAGCGGTCTCACAGGACAGAGATGTGGGCTTTCCCAGAACTTCCATGTTCTAAACCTTGGCAGTTGGTGGGCCGATGGGAGTTTAGGGCCAAGCCTTGAAATATGGGTGGGGTCTTGCAGGGTAGATGGTGAAGCTGCAGAATGTCATTGGCTCACGGTACTTGATGTCACAAAGACTTGAACTCCCTGCAAGGGAGACAAGGGGTGGGGCCCTCGCCTGAGGAAATTGCTTTGGTACAAGGGAGCAGGGTCTGGCTTGGTGGTGCGGGCCGGCCCAGCTGGCAGCAACCATAGCTGTGCCAAGACAGTGATAGGAAGGCAAGGGAGCCTGGCCAGATGCCTCAGCCCCCAGTCCTGCTTCCCATCCCCTGGATACGCTGCCTGGCCTCATCCCTGGCGTCATGGTCCTTGGTCCATTTCCCATGTGGGCAGGAATGAGGACAGTGGTGGTGAGCTGAGGATGGCCCTGTGACGGAATCAGGCCCCTATGCTGCCAGGACAACAGTACCTGCAGGGTGCCCTGGGATTGGAAGAGGGGAGCCAGGATCCTGTTGGATATCCCAAACAGCCCTTAGCCTGTCCCAGCATCTCAGCGGTGGGCTCAGTGCTGTTCTCAGTAGGACGTACCCTGAAGTGGGTGCTTGGGTGCCTGGGCAGAGATGCCTGCTCAGGGGCCTGGGGGACAGTACATGGGTGGCCTTCCCTTAGGACTGGCATTGAGGCCAGCTGTCTCAGCCACTTTCTCTGGAAGAAGTGGGGGTCTGGTTTTCCCTGATGATGCCAAAGACCACCAGGCCTGGGCAGGTCAGGTAATGCTGCCTGCTGGGGACTCTGGCAGCAGCTCAGCCCTGTGAGGAACTTGACAATGCCTGTGAGCTGATGAAGACTGATCATTGCTAAGGACAGGTCAGAGTGGGAGGATGGGTGGGATGCAGGTGTGTTCACCTCTTCTCTGGGAGCCCCCTAATAATTTTCTTGTCTCCTCTCGCATTAAGGCTAGTCCAAGTGTTCCCAAACCCACCTTCACCCACCGTCGTTTTCCTGGTTGCAGGGTCTTGTTTTCACTTTACATCTAAATAGCTTCAGAGATTTGTAACAACACACTTTTTAAAAATGTAATACAAATACGAGCTATCAATCAATCTGTGCCCATAAAAAAGAAAACAGGAAGAAGTGTGAGTAAGATGTATTTGAAATTTTTTAGAAGTAAATTTTAGTGTTTATAACTTGAATTCATGGATACATATGTCTACAGTTTATTTTTCTACATACTTTGTTGTCTCCACCAGTGTCAGTCCAAATAAGTCAGAATTGACATTCACCAACAGAGCAGACAACAGGTGCCCAGCCGATGCCAGTGGGATGATGCTGAGAGATGGGGCAGCTGATTCTACCTCTCAGAGCAGAGGACTGGGTCCTGTGCTGGCCTCCTCTGTCCACACAGTGGACCACGGCACTCAGAAGGGAAGTGCCACTTAGAGTAGAACTCCTAGTTCTGGTTTTTCCAGTTAGAAATTTTAGCATGGAATTCTTCCTCAGAATCACAGCCCACCGGGGGAGAGACTGCAGGGTCAATCTGCATGGAGGAAGGACCAGCTTAGGGGGCATCTCTGATGTCTGGTATGGGAGAGAAAGGCGGTGGAGGGCTGGGCTGGTGGAGGTGGGATTTAGCTATGCTTCTGTGTGAGGGTTATAAGAGGATGACACATGTGAAAGAAACAACTGTGTAGGCCATGAGAAGCTGCTCTCCAGAGGAGGTTTCAATTTTTCACTCACTATGTAAATCATGCTCCCTAATTAGCTACAGGCATCTGGACAGCTGTAGCCCTGACTGACCCTGCTCTCTGTTCCCTGCCATCTCGCCTCTGCTCAGGGCCAGTGGCTGCTCTGTCCCTTTCACTCATGCTCAAAGAACTCGTGGCAGGCAGTGGTCACCATGGCAACGAAGGCCATGAATTCCTGGAAGTCACATTCCCCATCTCCATCACTGTCCAGGATGTTCATGACTTTGTCCACAGCTTCTTGCTCTTTGATTTCCTGGGGGAAAAAAAGAGAAACAGTGCCTGACTTGTTTTAAAATGAAATGTAGACTCACTTAAATGACCACACACATTGGTTGGCTGTCACGATTTATGCCAGAAATGACCTAAATAATAAAATGCAAAATACCAGGAAAGTTTCTCATGGAATGTGCACTGATCAGGCTCTGCTCTGCACCACTGCCATCCCCTTAGGCCTAGCGGGACTTGGGTTCCTGAACAGACTATTAAGATGGTACAGCCGAGCCTGGGGCTGCATGCAGGCTGTGAGCACTCACAATGGAGTCAGGGCAGGGACCAGGGAAGCAGTTGTGGACAAGAGTTGTGGACAGGGATTGTGAACAGGGGTTGTGAGCAGGGACGGGACAGTGGAGAGGGCCGTGGGCATTGATCCAGCAGGGATGCCTGAGCTGCTTTCTCACTTCTGTGCCTGACTGAAGGGGCCTGGCTCCCCGTAAGCATAAAGCTACTAGGTAAACTCAGCCTCTGGTGAGGACTGGGGTAATTTGGAACTATTGTTGTTGGCTGAAGTAAGTCTAGAAGCATGTGTAACTCCCACTTGCCCTCCTCTCCTATTTCAAAGGAGGTCCGTGAGGGCAGCTGCTCTGTTGAAGATCAGCATGTGGTGCATGAGGCTTTGGCACACACTGTCTCTGTCTTGAGAGCTCATGCTGGAGAATAGCAGTGTCAGAAGCAGACTCGGGGGGGCTGGAGAGATAGCACAGCGTTTAGGGCGTTTGCCTTGCACGCGGCCGACCCGGGTTCGATTCCTAGCATCCCATATGGTCCCCTGAGCACCGCCAGGAGTAACTCCTGAGTGCAGAGCGAGTAGTAACCCCTGTGTATCACCAGGTGTGACCCAAAAAGCAAAAAAAAAAAAAAAAGCAGACTCAGGGCGTCCCCACTCACCCCAGTCTGCAGCAGTGGTCTCTGCCGGGGGAAGCATAGGTCATAGCCACAGGTTTGCAGGTAGTGGTGGGCAAAGCCCCCTTAAAAATGCCCAGCACAGCATGGGCTGGAGCCAACTCTGTCCTATGCTGATGGACTCTAGAAGTTCAGGGGTGTGGCTGCACACAGGGTCTGCCTCATGAGCAGCTCTCCGTCTCCAGAGCACTGATCTGCCACCGGGGCTGGGAATAGTGACTGAATTGCTCAAGGACCTAGAAATGCCCCCAGCAGGAAGTGTTCCCTTCTGGCTCTAGGTGCACCTTGACCAGTCCTTGAACTGAGCATTCAGGAAGGTCCAGTCAGAGCACAATTGTGGAATTACATGTGGTTGCCCCATTTGTGTGGCAGGAAGGAAGGGAAGCGAGTCTGGTCCTCTGGCCACAGCTGACTGGGCACTAAGTTTCCAGAAAGGGCACTCTCTGGGTCAGGTTCTCACTGAGAGATGCTCCTTACTCCATACATCTGATGATGTGTACCCTTACACACCATGACCATGAACAGAGGGCTTCAGGAGGTTGTGGCTGGTGCCCCAGAGCAGAGGCTGCTCTGAGCCAGTCCCAGAACTGATGGAGGTGAGTGCTCAGCAGATGTTTGTCAAGTAACTATGGTGGGTGCCAAGCACTTGGATGAAACCCAACATCCCTTTCCCAGAGGAAACTCTTGATTTTCCATACCGTCTGATCTTTTCTGTGCACTCTGGCTTCTGATCGACCACTGTCTCATTTTCTGCCTGTTTAATCATTATTCTTACTGTACGTCCTTAGATTTTTCAGATGAAACTCAGCGTCTTTGGCCTCAGAGGCATCTTTATTCTTTGGTATCTCACACTCCCAGAAGCAGGGCCCAGGAATCCAGGGTACGCTAAGGGAGCAGCGTGACCGAGGCAGGGTCCCTGCTCTCAGACCCGAGAACAGCTGAGAGGAGCGACTGCAGGCCTCCATTGTGGACAGGAGATATGAAAAAGCAAGACTTACCTCTAAAAAGTGAGAAAGCTCTGTGTTGATTAGCTCCTTGAGCTCTGACTTCTTCAGTTTGTGCTTGTCACCCTCCCTTCCGGAATACTGGTGGAAAACATCAATGAGGGTCACCACGGCCTTCTCCAGCTCAGACATACTATGAGCCACAAAGGAAAGACACTTCTGGTTTGCATTTTGCTCCACAGAACATCCACACAGCCTTCCACATCGTGAGGGGCCACCACAGCTCCCACAGCTGCCAGGATTTTTCAGCAGCACTTTAGGGTCACTCTCCCACCCACCCACCCCCTTTCCTTCTCTCTCCCTGTGGACTGCAGCCTAAGTGGACCGCAGCCTAAGTTCTATGCCCTTTGACTTCTGGGTGGGTTTGGGAAAGCAGCAAAAACCGAGGAGGAGCAATGGGAGGTTAGGTATGAAGCCACCTCTGCTTGCACTGGGCTCCATAATGAACAGCCAGTCAGAACCACAGTCCTTAGAATTGAGTGGAACACAGGAAGATGAAGCAAGTGAGCCTTCAGAAATGAATAGCTTTCCTGCTTTCTACCCAAGAACAACCAAAGCCTGTCCCTGGAGCTCACACACACCATCTAGGAACCTGCATTTCTTTTTTTCGGGGGGTGGTGGGGAGCACACCCAGTGATGCTCAGGCGTTACTTCTGGCTCTGCACTCGGAATTACTCCTGACAGTGCTGAGAGACCAAATGGGATGCCGGGACAGCCACATACAAATCAAATACCTTACCTGCTTTGGCCCCAAGAACCTGTATTTCTTACCCAAGATCTCGGGAAAAACCTGCTACCTTTGAATTTACAAATAAATTCAACTCATCGAACATCAGTGGATTTTCATGTTTATTTTGGGAGCCTGCCAAGTGGTGCTTAGGCAGTCCAGGTACCTCTTGGCAATTCTTCGCCAACATCATTAGTCACCCAGTATAAGGGCTGGTGGGTGCAGTGGCATATGTCTTCTTCCCAACAGTATGACCCCAAACAGCTGTAAAATTCAACTGAAAAAATAAATACGGTATAATTGCTGTAGATAGGAATGTTGCTGTCTATAATGGTAGGAGTTATGGAAATGGTGTCCTGAACATGGTGGACTATTTTTTTTAAAAGATCAGAGTGTACCTTGATCTGCAGAAGGAGGAATATATTCTGAGGCCACTGTCTGGCTGCTGTGGCTTGGGAGCAGACACTGTGAGTGAAGCCTGCCCATGAAATTGGGGAAAGTTGTTTATTCACTGCTGAGAGCATCTCTCTGCAGATGCCAGAGGGCGTGAAAGGTTCCTCCCTCTCCACAGGGAACTTAAGGTGACATTTATGCTGGGCAGGCAGCCTGAGCTTGGGAACTGACAGGTTTCACAAAGCACAACTACTGAGTTATTTCACAGCAGGAGTTACCCTTACCTTGTTTGCTTGTGGGCCTGGACCTCTAATACTGGAGTCAAATAGTGACTTTATGTATCATGGTTAAAAATAGTGGAAAGAGCCACATCTAATTGTTAAAAAATCATGTTACATTTTATTTAAAAAATATGTTGGAATTTAATATTAACAACTTTTTGATCTCCCAAAAGGAAAGACAGTTGAGGATTTTTGTCTTGGACTAAAGTCACCAATAATTATTATTTTTTTTAATTTAAAGGATTTTATTTTCTCTAAATAAATTAGAAATAAAAATTGGTTGGGAGCCAGAGCAATAGTACAGCTAGTGGAGAACTTGCTTTGCATGCAGTTGACCCGGGTTTGATCCATAGCATCCCATAAATGGTCCCTCAAACACTTCCAGGAGTGATTCCTGAGTGCAGAACCAGGAGTAACCCCTGAGCATTGCTGTGTGTGGCCCCAAGACAAAAATAAATTACTAAAATTGATTATTCAAAGCTGCCGCAGGCTTTAACTCTCAACGGTCCTCAGGCTACCCAAGTTTCATAAGTCACCCAGTTAATACTTTGCTAAAGCCATCCAATATCTACCAAGCATAGCTTGTAAGTACCTGAATCCCAGACATCACATGTAAATAGAACATTTCAGATGCATTAGAGATTTCAAATTTCCTTATACATGTTTTTCATTGTTAGTTTTTTGTTTGTTTGTTTTCTTTGTTTTTTTAATAAAAAATCCAAGAAAGATTTGCATCAACCTAATGTTTCTCATGTTTGGTGAAGAGGAAGGCTAAGTTATTTTTTTGAACTGTGAACTGTTTGGCGTACTTTCAAAGGAAAGGCATAAAATGTATTTCATGCATTTGAAAACTACATAAAGTGTGATTCTGCTATCCACAGTGCAAGTCTATTAAAATATTTTTCTTGTGCAGTTCTCCCTTTACAGTATGAACAGTTTAAGGGTTACTGCAAACCAGAGGTCCTGCTCCCTGTCACTCTATCAGTGTTCTGCATTTGTTATCTTCACTGTCCTTATTTTTATTGACATAAAGTTGCCTTATCACAGGATGCAAGTTTTAGGTATGAGTGTTGATTGTGCTATTTGGGCTTTAAGTCCCTGGAAGGACACATCACACATGGAAGGTCCCAGCTAGTGCTTCCCTGTGAATATTCCAGACCTTCCTCAGATTCTTGATATGAGTTTCCAACAGCTGACAGCCCAGAAAATACCCAGAAAGATGCCTACCCAGGTGGAAGGGTGGGAGGGAGCAGGGTACTTCTGAGAGGGGCTGCAGAGTCTGTGTGCCTCTTGGTCCTGGGCAAGCAGAAACAAGCCACTGAAGGACTTCTGGACACCATCCCTACACAGCCACCCACCGAAGCTCCCTCTTGCAGGCTAGTGAGCTCAGGTGGACACAAATCCATCCTGTGGAAATGCTGCAGGTTATTTTAAAGGGATTTTTATTTCTTGAATTTTGGGGGGCCAAGGAACCCAGATAAAAATGTGGAACTTTGCGACCTTGGACTCTGGACTTAATGGGACCTGGAACAGAGATCCTCTGCCTGCTTCCCCCAGTCTCCGGTGACTCAGGGATCACACCCATAAGCCATACCCTGCCGGCACCAGATAATCTCTTCATTGGCCACCCTCCAGAACTCACAGGTGCTCCTCCCAGATGGGAGTATAAAAGAAGGCTCCCAGAACCATGCCACCCGACTCCGCGTCAGACTGTGGGGCGGGTGAGAGCCCTTCCCACCCCAAGGGTACTTAGCCCCGGCAGCCGACCTCCACTGCCCAACCACCACCACACTCTAGGCCACTTTCCGGACATTATAAGACACTTCCTACCCATTTATGCCTCTTGGAGAGCCCGGCAAGCTACCGAGAGTATCCCGCCCATACGGGCAGAGCCTGGCAAGCTCCCTGTGGTGTATTCAATATGCCAAATACAGTAACGACAATAGGTCTCATTCCCCGGACCCTGAAAGAGCCTCCAGTCATTGGGAAAAGACAAGTAAGAAGAGGCTGCTAAAATCTCAGAGCTGGGAGGAATAGAGACATCACTGGCGCCCACTTGAGTAATTTGACGATTAAGGAGATGACAGTGATTGGGGGGGCTCTTAACTAATGCTCATGGGATTCAGAGGTCCCTGCCGGTGATTCTCAGCTAACCAGGCCAATGGTTCAACTTGAGAGCTCTAGGATGCTGTGCTGCTTGGGAACCGCAGAGCCAGGGAGACCCAGAGCACTCCTGTGGTGCTTGGGGGTCTCTGGGGCTATGGCTGATGATGCTCCCGGGACCCTGTGATGCTGAGGATAGAACTGGGGTCAGCCACCGATAGGCCTGAGCGTTAACCCTTATACTGTTTCTCCAATACCCCCACCGCCACTCCCGCCACACACACACACACACAACCACACACACACACACCACCCCACACACACGTTTTTTTAACGAACACCCTATTCCCAGCCCCTCTCAAGATTCGTCCCCAAGAGAAAAGAACAGGTTTCTCTGAGTGCCTCACGTCAGGGTTTTTGGTGCTCCTCCTGGTCACCTCTGCTTCAGGTCCTGCGCGGCAGACTAGGAGGCTGAGGCTGCCTCTTATTCCTTCCTGTGGTGTGGTTGGGCGTGGCCAGCTGGTCACTGCAGGCCCAACCAGCCAGTGGGGGCTGCGGGCTGCACACAGTGCTGCATTGACAGACCCCCCCTCCCACTCGTGGGGGGCCAGGCTGCTCAGGGCCAAAGAGGAAAACTGCCTGTGGGGCAGGAAGTGGGGAGTCAGCACTTTGTGCTATTGAAAATTTATAGGCGAGTGTCCTGCCGTCCTGGCAGCAGGCTGGACTGGGAGAAGAGCAGCAGGTTATTGATTCCGGTAGAGGCAGCTCACAGCAGGCGCCAGAAGCTTCCAAGGGCTGAAGGCAGATGAATGGCTGTGGGCCCAGCTTCTGCCCAGCTTCAAGCCTTGGCCTGCCTCTCCACACTCAGCCCTGGAGAAGCACAGAGCCACGTCTGCAGGGCCTGCAAAGTGAATAGACCCTGGTGTTTTCAGGGAAAGCCTTCATTCAGTGAGGCAGGGGGAAGCCCTCCAGAATCCCAGGGTGAGGGTCACAGATGGTCAGAGCAGGAGGGACCCAGGTGGGACCTGTCCAGGTGCTCCTTTGAACAGTGGAGACTGAGGGCCCACAACTAGCTCCCCATCTCTTGCTGCCTGTCTCCAAGGCACTTGCATGAGCCACTTCTAGTGGAGAAGCTACTAAACAGGTCACCCTCTTCTCCAGGGCCTTGGTCCCAAGCTTCCTCACCCCAAGGTCAGGCCTTGATGCTGAGCACTCACAGTGTTCCACTGATGTACAAAGAAAGCTGTGGACATAGTTGTTTCCCAAGCCTATCTCCACTGCCTAACACTCCAAAGATGGGGGATGGGGGCAGGGGCTACCCTGTGGGCCTCCCACTTACCTCCCTCTGCTGGGTAGGGAAGGATTAGTTAATGAGTGTCGCCCAGGAAGCAGCAGCTGTGCTCGCCATTTGGGAGTGTGGCTGCATTCCAGCCATGTTCCTATGTCCAGAGAGTAAACTCACATGTTTTATGGACCCCAGGGAGCTCTGTGGACCCCAGGATGCTGTGTGGATTCCAGAATGCTGTGCCATGTAGCCCCAGGAGACAGGACATTACCTACAACCACATTCAGTGAGCTATGGGACCTCAGGCAGAGGGGCTGTCCCAGCAGGTGGGAAGAGGGTCCTTTCAGCAAGTGACCTTTCCCCCAGGTGGTTATGCAACTGACAAAGTTCTGAGTTTTCGTGTGGCCCCTGGACATGGATTCCCCAACCAGCACACTTCTACACTGCAACTCCTCCTATCTTGCTGGCCCCAGCTCAGCAAGGTCATTCTTGTTGGTAAGGGGACAGGGAAGGCTGGGCAGCATCTTGTTTCCCCCTCAGTGGACAGAATCTGTGCCATGTTGCTTGCGAGGTGGTTGCAGAGGCCAAGTCCGCAAGGAGGCCTGTGTCCTGCAGGGACAGCCAGAAGGGCAACAGACTTTTGCGGTGAGTGTTGTGTGTGTGTATGCGGGAGGGGGGACTGGGTGTGGTGGAGAATTAACTGTACTACAGGACGTCATGAGCTGGGGACTCTGATCCCCTCACAGAGGGACCCATGACAGATTCTTCCTTGTCTCAGCCTCTGAGGAGAGTCCAGACTCTTGCTTCAGGACAGTGGAGGAGAAAATGAACTTAGAAAATGAAAATGAAAATGAACCACGGACAGGACATACTTGCATACATACATACACACATGCATACCAGGTGTGTGCACATGTGAAGTAACTTCATGTATGGAACTTGAGGTCATGCTTGTGATCAGACACTCCTGTTCCTCTCTATCAAAGGGACGCCTTCTGCCTGGTGACGTCTTGGCACAGGAAAAGCAGAGCAGAGCAGAGCACAGAGATTTCTTGGACTGGCTGGGCCCACAGTGCAGGATGAGCTCATGCTAATGGAGAAGAGTGAGTCCTAGAGGCCCCATTTGGCAACAGGAGATGGAATCATCTCTCTCATGGGTATCACGTTTTGTTATTCACATACTGCATTGGATTTCAGGGCCCCACTTGGCCTTTCCCCGTCATTCCAAAACCCCTTCCAGAAGCCAGTCCAGAAACGGTGCGGGGTGCTGGGGTAGGGGGTAGGGTAGGGGAGTAGGGGTGCATGCTGAGTGTGCTCTGGTGCCAGGCAATGGCAGGAGCCCAGCTCCAAATAACAGGGCTTTTGTTTTGAACTTTATTTTGAAAAGGAACTGGAGTTGGGACACCCCTCACCCTTTGTTGCTTTGTGTGTGGGAGTCTGCTGCCTGCAGAAACACACATGGAGTGTGCACCTGCTCCAGCTCAGGTACCGAAGGAAATCGCCAGCTTTCCTCTTTTGCACAATTCTGCCACAAGTTCTAATTTGAATATGCTTATTATAACTTGGGCTGGAGCCATAGCACAGTGGGTAAGGCATTTGCCTTGCACGGTCGACATGGCCGACCTGGGTTTGATTCCCCCGCCCCTCTTGGAGAGCCCAGCAAGCTACCGAGAGTATCTTGCCGGCACAGCAAAGTCTGGCAAGCTTTGACATATTCAATATGCCAAACACAGTAACAACAAGTCTCACAATTTGTTGTGAGACGTCACTGGTGCCCGCTGGAGCAAATCGATGAACAACCAGAGGACAGTGCTACAGTGCTATTATAACTTATGAGGTTTAAAGTAGAAGAGATCACTAGATTTAGCCTGTCAGGCTGTTTACTGGGTGGGAACTACTTTTTCAACCAAAGATCTCACGTCTTCCACCTAGCTCACAGTCACAACAAAAGCCTCATCAGAAGATGGATTTTTGACACTGGAACTAATGAGGATTGGTACATCAGTTTGTGGAACTCAGCTGACTCAGTAAGAAAGTCCTGGACTGGGGTGTGAATGGCCTGGCCCTTCATTATTACAGCACGGTGTACCCAGGTGCTGGTGGACAGAGGCGGCGGGTGGTCGAGTAAACCCCTTGTCACCCCCCTGCCCCCCCTTCCCCCGCACAGAGGACGCTGCCCCGGGCGCAGACCCACCGCCTCCGTGTGCGCGGCGCCAACAGCCCCTGCCCGTTAGCACTAAACTTCCTCCGGGTAAAAGAGGATCTCCCGGGTTCTCTCAACTGGCACCCATCAGGTGGTGCGAAGGACGAATGTTCTCAACGTGGCCGCACCGAGGGCGCCAAAGCGGAGCCTCCTTTCGGAAAGCTCAGCCCCTCGGGGCACCCACCGGTCCCGGCCGGGCCGGCCAGACCCCCGCACGCCTCCTCGGTCTGCCCCACTCTGGGTCCCGCCGCCCCCGCGGCCCCGAAATCTCCACTCCCGTAGCCCCGCCCCTTTCTGGTCCCCTCCGCGCCGAGGCCGGGCCCCGAAGAGGGGTAAAGTGCGCCTGCGCGGGTCGGGGCGGTGCCCACCTCCCTGGCAGACGGCTGCGTGCACGGACGCATGCGTGGGTGCGGCCGGGGGCGGGGCCTTCGTGGCGCGGGGTCTACGCGCACTGCGCCTGCGCGGGCGGAGGCAGCGGCTAGAGCTTGTCGGACACCGTCAGCCCCTCTGCGCCCCGCCGAGGGACACGCTGAGGTAGGCTCCGGCTCGGCGGCGGCCCGCGCCTCAGGCGGGCCGTGCGGGGATGTGCCGGGAGCGGCCGCGGCCTCCCCTGACCCTGCCTTTTCCTCGGGGTCACGTCCACGCCCTTTCTCCGCGCCCCACCCCTCCCATGGCCACGCCCACCCCGCGTTCCCGGGAATCCGGGCCTCCCCCCGCCCGCCGACCACGTCCACACTGATCTCCACTGGCCCGCCGCTTCCCAGGGTAGGCCCCGCCCGCCCCTCACGCCGCACCCCTCCTGCCGCCCCACTCCTGCGGGGCCCGGCCCCACCTCTCCGCGCAGCACCCCTTCTGCCACCCCTCGCGCCACACCCCTCCTCCGGCGCCCCGTCCCCGCCCCTCGCGCCACATCCCTCCTCCGGAGCCCCGCCCCCGCCCCTCGCGCCACACCTTCCCCGGCTCCCCCCGCCCCAGCCCCTCCGCGCCGCACCCCCTCGCGCCGCCCTTTGCGCCACACCCCTCCTCCAGTGACCCGCCCCCGCCCCTCCGCGCCACACTCCTTCCGCCACTCCTTACGCCACGCCCCTCCTCCGCCACATCCCTCATCCGGCGCCCCGCCCCCGCCCCTGCACCACTCCTGCCATCCCTCGCACCACACCCCTCCGCTGGGCCTGGCCCACGCCCTCCGTGCCACACCCCTCCTGCGCCACACCCCCAACCACCCCTCCACGCCACACTCCTCCCTACTGCTGCCACCCCTTTCGCTTCCAGCCTTGTGACACGCCCCTCCCAATGGGCCACGCCCACCTCCCCTCTGTCATCTCTCCGAGCCACGCCCCTCGTGGCTGGCTGCCCTTTGGTGCTGCACCTTTGGCTTCCTGGCCCCCACTCAGCCCTCTCTTCTCACCCCTCTCCAGACACCGTATTGTCTTTCCCTTATCTCCCTCTCAGTACTGTATACAGTTCATTACGTCTTCTTGCCCCACAGCATCCTGGTCTCCCTCCAACAATGAAATATTTTCTCAAAATGCAATGTATATATATATAACTGTTTTTCATTACAAATGTCACAGTAGTAGGTCTTATTGATAAATTAGGCATGAATTTAAGTGACGAACTGGTTTTGGCTGGACAGTCATGCTAACATTTCATCATGATGTGGATTACACTGTCACTGGAGGATTGAGAGAGAAGAGATGGTTCCTGATAATGAGAACACTTTACCATTGTTGTTGTTTTGGGGACTACACCCAGCGATGTCCAGGGCTTACTCCTGGTCTGTACTCAGGGATTACTCCTGGTGGTACTGAGGAACCATACATGGCACTGGGCATTTAATGAGGGCCAGTGCTTGCAAGGCAAACACCTTAACCCCTATGCTATCTCTTAGGCGCCTAGTGGAAACACTTTACAGCAGCATTTTTCAACAAATTTACACCTGTGATGGCCTGTCCACTATCTGTTCAGTAGTTAGAACCACAGGTAGTAGATCAGTGGTTTTCAGTCTTTCTACACTTGTGGCACCGGTCTTTGACCAGTGGGTAGAGACAGCTTTAAAGCCCTTAAAGAGCAGCTGGAGCGATAGCACAGCAGGGAGGGTGTTTGCCTTGCATGCCACCGACCCGGGTTCGATTCCCAGCATCCCATATGGTTCCCCAAGCACTGCTAGGAGTAATTCCTGAGTGCATGAGCCTGGAGTAATCCCCTGTGCATTGCCGGGTGTGACCCAAAAAGGAAAAAAATAAAGCCCTCAAAGAGTTTTAATCAGAAGCTAATAAGGTTCAAGGAAAGTAACTGGGCCTGATTTGTTTTGTTTTTGCGTTTCTAGGAATTCAACCCAGAGCGTTCATACATGTGAGGGATATGCTTTACCACGGAGTTGTAGTCCCTGCCCAGATTTATTAGTGTAAATCAACATAGTGATCTAGTTGGCACTGCCCACTGAATAGGATTAGCACATTGTAGATTTGTAAAAAAATAAAAAGAAAAGCACACTGTTTGAAATTTGAAAACTTTAAGTTATTAAGTTCAAATTTTATTTTTTTCAGAAAGGGTTGCATTTATAAATTTTATCTTGCTTTTTTTGGGGTGGGTTGTTATTCCCAGGTAGTTCTTAGAAGGTCCCAGAAGCACTTTCCATTGATTTCTTGACCAGGCTGGCATTTCATTCCAGGGTCTGAGGCTGGGGTACTTACTCTGCCTTATGCTGGGAACCATTACTTTGTAGTGTCAGGGGCCTGTAGGATCACATCCAATGATACTCGGGCCTGTGTGGTTCTGGGGATCAAACCCAGGTTGAATGCATGCTACTGGACTATCTGTCAGCCCTCAAGTCCATTGTTGATGCAAACATGATTTTCTTTCATCTGGTGGAGTACCTTTAACAGGGACATTTGAAAATAGATGTAATCAAGCTTTTTCTCATTCTCTCTCTTTCTCTCACTGTAAATGGAGGGGGAGATGAAGCATTAAAGGTGGCAAGGTGGCAGCAATGCGTCCCGGCCTCAGAGAACTATGGCAACATCCGGTGATTGGACTGGGAGTGAATTGCAGGTGATTTCATTGTTGATTTCATTGGAGCCTGTTTCTAAAAACTGGTATCTGCACTTAGTCTCCAGCAGTGGTCCTTCCCGGGCCCTTTGTGGTTCGCCACTAACTGACCAAGCTCAGTAAGGCAGAGGTGGTCCATTGCTTGTGAGGGTTCCAAATGATGTTCTGAATCGAGCATTGTAGCTTTACCCAGGGAGTAGGTATGAACGTGCTGAAGAAAGCAAGCGGATTTTCTTAGTTGTTTAGTTAAGTCCCGGGCATGCTATATGAAAGTGATCAAACACTGTCCTCCCGTTGTTCATCAATTTACTCGAGTGGGCCCAATAACGCCTTCATTGTGAGACTTTTTGTTACTGTGTTTGGCATATTGAATACTCTCAGTAGCTTGCCAGGCTCTCCGAGAGGGGCGGAGGAATCAAGCCCGGCTCGACCAGGCTGGCTGCATGCAAGGCCTTACCGCTGTGCTATCACTCCAGCCCTATGAAAGTGATACTACTTTTTTTTTTATAATTTAATAATCTGACTGTTTTTTGAACCACACCTGGCAGGGCTTACTCCTGTCTTTGCACTCAGGACACTCTTCCTGACGGTGTGGGGAGATCATACAGGGATCAAACCCAGTTGGACCATGTGCAGTGCAAATGCCCTACCCATTGTACTTGTGCTCTGGCCCTGATCTCCTTTCTTTTGGGTTTTATTGTCTGTATTTGTTTTTTTTTGGCCCACACCCTGTAGTGCTGGCATGGGAGGGGCCAGGGAACATGTGGTGGGATAAACCTGGGTCGCTGCATGCTAAGCATGTACTCTAGCAATTTGAGTCAACTCCCTGGCCTCATTTAGATTTTATATTTAGGAATTTTATGTATACATTTGACCCTTGGACAACTTGTTTCTGATCTGTGCAGGGTCCACTTCTGTGTGGATGTTTTCTGTTTGAGGGCTCCTACTTTATAGACTTGATCACTGTTGTCAGTTGGTTGAATCCACGGATGAGCATCTCTGCCATTCTTTTTTCTCAGTCTCCAGAGCAAACTCTGCCTGGGTTGTGGTTTTCTTTGCATTGCTCATTTCCTGAGCATCACCCCAAGTGTCTCCTGAGCACCACTAGTTTGGCTGAACACCCCCTTCTCCCCAGAAGTCAAAGAGAATGTTAAAAACCTAAAAGATACTCCATGCTAAGGTGGTGCCAGTTTCTCTATACCCGATCTGTGTCCTAGATGTAGTACCAGAGGCTGTGCTTCTCTGTGTACACATTATAAAGTCAGTGTATGTGCTGGCATTTCGGGAAGTCTTGTCATTATGAGTCCGTTGGCGTGGGTTTCCTCCAATGAAGTGGAATGCGTGACTACAGGTGCTAATACCTTGGGGGGGAACCCCCTGTGCTGGTAGGTCATGGAGGGGGTGCCATCGAGGTGCAGGGGCCTCTTGGGCTTGGAGCAGCATGTTCACAAGCAGTGAGGTTGAGGGCAACCACATGGGCATATACCAGGTCACTGGCACCTCCCTTCGGTGACTCTAGCTCCAGCTCTCCTGGGGTTCCCCCCCAACGCTCCCATCCTCCAGCTCTACTTTTTATGAGGGTAGTTTGCCACACTGATCAGTGCTCAGGGGCCACTCGGCTTGGCTCAGAAAAGACCACTGGTGGTAATGCTCAGAGGACCAAATGTGGTGCTGCGGGTTTAAAACTAGGGTTGTGGTCACCAGAACCGCATACAAGTACCTGCCTTCTATGCTCCAGCCCAAAAACCCAAAACTTGACCACACTAATTTTCCTTTCAAATCATCCTAACAAATTGGAGACAAACAAATAAATTAATTAATAAATAAAAAAGAAAGAAAGAAACAGAAAGTTAAGAAGAAAATTCCACACTCATTTTTTTTTCTCTTTGATTTGACCAGGATGGAACAGAGCTGGCTGAGCACAGCGTGGAGGAGCAAGCCCAGGGTATTGTCTACCCTGAGGAGTTCGTGGCTATCGCAGACTATGCCGCACCTGATGAGACACAGGTAACCAGGTGCACTCAGCAGGGGGACTGTGGGCATCAGGGCTATGTTTATTATTCCAGCATGTTCTGTGACAGATTAGATGCAGTGAAATTTTTTGGGGGGGGAGGGGTGGAGTTTTGGGCCACATTTGGCAGCGCTCAGGCATCACTCCCAGCAGGCCTTGGGGAACCCTTTGAGGTGCCGTGATCCAACCATGTTTGGCTGCTTGCCAGGTCAAGCACTATCCCTTCTCTTTCCCAGATGTAATAAATCTTAATGGAAGTCTTTCAAAAGTTAAATAAAATGATCTGATGCCAGGCCCACGAGAAACCTGCGAATGATCTCTTTCCAGCCCAACAAGTCTAATCTGCCTGTTAGGGAGATGCCTGGTTGCAAGACCCCGGAGATGACTCAAATGAATGAATACAGGCTTTGCATGGAGGAGCCCAGTAGCTCAGAGCTGACTCATGGCTCTATGCTCAGGAGTCACACCTGGCAGGGCTCGGGACCGTATAGGATGCTGGGGATTGAGTGAGGATCAGCCTTATTCAAGTCAATCTCCCTAACCCACTGTACTATGACACATAATTGTATCTCCTTGCTCAGCAAGCAGATCATCGGGGCTCCTTTCAGACACTTCCTCAAGAGTTTGACTCAGGATGTACATCTGGGGAGTGGCCAGTTCTAGTGTTAGGTGAAATTTCTTATTTGTTGTTTCACTAGTGCTTGCTTTGACCCATGTAAAGAAAACTGCAGAGGAAAATCCAGAATCACATGTGGCTGTTGGGCAGTCTCGTTTGAAGGATTGTAAAAGGGCTGAGGAGAAGAGCTTGAAGGGCTAGAGTTCATGTTTTCATGTGGAAGCCCTGGGTTCATTCCCCAGCTTTTCATGGTCCCCCAAGCAGTTTCCAGGTGACTCCTTGTCATATTACAACTGACCAGGCAACAAGGCATCTGAGAATAAGGGCCATTACCCAAGCCTTCACACAGAAAAATGTAGCCTGGAGGTGTGGCTAGGGCTTTCTTCTAAGTGATTAACTTCTAAGTAGTCTGAGTAAGTGCTTTGCATGCAGGATACTTGGGTTTAATCCCTGGTACCACTTGGATCCTTATGCCCCACTGGGATTAACCCCCAGACACAGAGCCAGGAGTAACCCCTGATCACCACTGAGTGTGATCCCCACTAAGACAAAAAAGTACAATGGCAGAGATCTAATTGTAGTTAGACTAACAGGAGACTAAGAAATTTACTTACAGTATTTTAAGATAATGATAAGTACAGTATATCGGGACACTACATTTTAGAGAATCACATAATTTTGAGCACATTTTAGAACCATTCATAGAAAAACGTTACTTTGATTTGGCATTGGTACCCATGTAATTTGATATGTTATAAGCCTGATTCATTTATTTTCACTTATTTATTTATCTTTGCTTTTTGAGTCACACCCGGTGATGCACAGGGGTTACTCCTGGCTCATGCACTCAGGAATTACTCCTGGTGGTGCTCAGGGTACCATATGGGATGCTGGGAATCGAATCCGGGTCAGCCGCGTGCAAAGCAAATGCCCTGCTCACTGTGCTATCACTCCAGCCCTCATTTATTATTTTTCTTTTATAAGGAGATAGTTATGGTCTTTAAAAATTATTTCACTTACAACTTGATTTTAAAATGTTTGTCAAAAATCAGTTAGGCAGGGACAGGTAGGGCATTTGCCTTGCACGAGGCTGACCCGGGTTTGATTCTCAGCATTCCATATGGTCCCCCAGCACCGCCAGGAGTAATTCCTGTGTGCAAAGCCAGGAGTAACCCCTGTGCATCGCTGTGTGTGACCGAAAAAGCAAAATAAAATAAAATAAAATAAATAAAAATCTGTTAGGGAAAGCTTTCTCTGTAATAGGTCTTTCTAACTTCAGCTGAGATCCCTATGTATTTTTTGAACTTACTTTTATTTTTTGTTTATTTCTTCTACTTCCCAAGTATTACTCAAAGTCTGGGGGCCCTCCCAGATATTCTCAGCCTGCTGGGCGGGCCTGCCCCTCTGGGCCTATGGTTCTGGGGATACCCAGGCTTCCCCAGTGGTGTCAGGAGCATCTCCTGACTTGCATCTGGTGATGCTCTGGTTCCATGTGGCTCTAGGTATCAGATGGGTGCCATCTACCCCAACTACTGTACTATTCAGCTACATGATGTGCTGATTTACGTGTTGTCACCCTGACTTTTGCTTCATTGAAGCCCCTTTGTATGTGATCATGCTAGCAGCTTTCTGAAATGGCTGTGCTGTGAGTTCCAGAGAGTCCTTCGTCTCTGAAACATACTTGAAATACCACTGGGGGCTTAAAATTTCATGTCTGTTTATTATTTCCAGCTCAGTTTTCTGAGAGGAGAAAAGATTCTCATCCTGAGACAGACCACGGCTGACTGGTGGTGGGGCGAGCGTGCCGGGTGCTGTGGGTACATCCCAGCCAACCACCTGGGGAAGCAGCTGGAAGAGTGTGACCCAGAAGACAGCTGGCAGGATGAGGAGTACTTCGGCAGCTATGGAACCCTGGTACTGTGCTTGAACTTGGTAGCAGGCTTTTGGGGTGCTTCTCCTTGGTTCAAGCTTTCAGGAAATCATTCTGGACTCGTACTCAGCAGCTTACAGTAGAAGTGAGGATTGTCCAGCCCATAGGCTGTACATGGTCTGCAAAATCCTGTGGTCTGGCCATGGTCCATGACAGGGTAGGCAGTATTCTTCTCATTAGCTGCCTGCGGCCCAACTCTGTATCGTATGGCCAACAAATGATGTTATAAATATCCTAATGGTTCTTGGCAGGAAAAAGGTTCTCACCCCTGGCTTATTGGCGCAGTGTTCATGGGGCAGCTTGGCTCTGCCTGTAGAGCAGAGTAAAGCCTGTGCAGTTGTATTCCATTCCAACTTTGTTTAAGAACAGTAAAATTGAGTTTCGTGTGATTCTCATTAGTCATAGTCTCCCTCTAGTTTTTAGAAACCCCTTAATGTAGATCCCATCTTTAGCTTGCAGACCGTACAAAAGCAGATAGAATGGATTGGCAGTTGGACTGAGGTTTACCTGGGTTGGAGATAATGAAGCAGTGGGATAGTGGGATCATGAGCTTTCCTCAGTATTTAAAATAAATGGTTTCAGAGGTCAGAGAGTGCAGTGGGTGGGGCGCTTGCCTTGCATGTGGCCCACCCAGGTTTGATTCCCAGCATCTCATATGGTCCCCAAGCCTGCCATGAATGATACCTGAGTGCAGAGCCAGGAGTAGCCCCTGAAGGACAAGAGGACAGTAGGGAAGGTGCTTGCTCTGCTTGTGGCTGACCCGGGTTCCATCCCTGTTACTGCATAGGATCCCCTCATCCCTGCAGAGTGATCCCTGAGCACCTCTGGATATGGCTCCCTCCAAACAAACAAACAAACAAAAAACTAAAATATTGAGGGCCAGATACTTGGCTTCAGTGGCTGAGTACATGCTGAGCATATGTGAGGTCTTAAGTTTGATCCCTGCCACCACACATCAGCCCTCTTCCTAACACTGAAGGGTGTGATGCTGGTGGCCTCAAGCATAGCTGGACCTAATCACCAAACTCTCAGGCATGTGTAATTGGGCCCTGGTCCCCTTAAATACTGTTGGATGTGGCTCTGTAAAATTATATATATATATTACAAAATTGTTTATTTTGGGAGGTACAGTTTGGCCATATTGGCATTACTTAGTGACCCCTCCTGGTTTTATGCTTTAGGGTCACTTGTAGTGGTATTTGGGGTATTGTATTTGGTGCAGAGATTGAACTGGGACCTTGCCCACTTTATTCTTTCTGACCCTCAGATAGAAAAGGTATATATTAATCAGCAAAATAAAACCCTTGAATACCTCTTTCTTTTTTGTATTCAGTATTGATGAAGATCCATATTAATAAAATGGATTTTTTCTTATGGTTCAGTCTGTTGCCCTTGTATTTTAAAGTTAGATAAAAACATGTACCTCCAGATGAATGTTGTAAATTTAGTATGGAGTGAAAGAAGCAAGAAAGCAAGGAGTAGCGTTTGATTCAATTATATAAAGCAAGAGACAGCATTAAAAACTCTCATTTATGAAGGCACATACAAGGAGAGGCAATAAAGACATGAAGGGCCTGGTCCCCTGAGAATCAGGATGGTGGTTACCTGTAGGAGAGTCTTTGATTGGCATGGAGGGGCTCCTTATCAGAGGGTCTGATTGGCGTGGAGGGTGACAGGGTGGTGGTAGCTGCCTGAGCGTTTACTGTAGGTCTGTGCCTAGGAACCATATAGGCCCTTGAGTACATTTTTTTCAAGGTCTCTCCTCTTTCATGATTAAACTGAACTGAAAAGTTACCTGTTGAGCTTTTACCGTGCTAAGGGAGAATGTAAGGGGAAGATTGGCTGTCTCCTCCCACTCTGCAAGATCTCTGTGTAGATAGGGGTCTCTCCTGAGATTGAGCATTGTCTGCTTTTTGCAAATATGTGAGAAACTTGCATTGTGCACACTGCTTACTGTTTACTCCCCTCTTAACTGTGCTGAGGACCATGTTTTCAGCACTGCACTGTGTTTTCCTTAAAAGGGTTGTACTTGGGACACTACCTATTTAAAGATTTTTTTTTCTCGTTCCATTATGGGCTCCCTCCTAAGGAGATTTTGCTAAACGTCCACAGGGCACATTCACTAGGGTGCATCTTAGTTTTTCTGTCCTGGTGAATCTCGTTATTTGCTCTTTAGAAGATCCATTGATCCTACAGCTTGTTGGTTGATCATGGTTTCCACGCAGATCACCAAAGTGAAAGCATTTGTGCCCTTAAAGTTGAAATGTGCTAACTTTGCCCGTTCATTTTCAGACTGCTTTATTTTTCTGGTAAATTTTTCATATGATTTGTTTCTTTTCTTTTGATTTTTTTATTATTTTTTTTGGCTAATGAAGCAGTTTAGCCTACTGACCACCATTTCCCCCTGTGGAACTTTTAATCTATGCTGATTTGTTCTTTTCTTCTTTTTATTTATTAACCTCATGGAGGAGCTGTGCATCCCTTGGGTGGCCTATGTCGTTGCTCAGGAGATGGTTGGTATTCTACCTCCTCTAGTGGTCCTAGCCAGTGTGTCACTTCCCTTGCTACAATTTCTGAACGGGAGAGGCAGAATCCCATGGATGAGCTCACATAGCCATATACTGGGTCTCTTGGTGGCTTGTTCATGTTCTTGACACACACATGGCCACCCTGTATTACTTGGGAATCGGGCCCTCCTGTTTCAGTTACCTGAGTCCTGAGTGTCTGTCCCACTTTCCTGAGTCCTGGGTGGTGCAGTCTGGTATACCCTCACCCTGAGCAGGAAGGGATTCTTGAATCTTCCATTTCACTCTTTGTCTGGCTATCCCTATTTTTCTCTTTTGTTGTATTTTGGTCTTTTGTGTTTGAAAACTTTTTTGTTGCTCATATTTTCCCATGTTGGCTGGTAGGACCAAGGGGCAGCAGCTCTGGCTTGAATTCCCCATCCCAGACTGTGACTTAGCAGAGCTCTCATCACAGGCTGTAGTCATGAATGTGCTTCCTGCAGAAACTTCACTTGGAGATGTTGGCAGACCAGCCACGGACAACGAAATACCACAACGTCATCCTGCAGAACAGAGAGTCCCTGAAAGACAAGGTGATCTTGGACGTTGGATGTGGCACCGGCATCATCAGCCTCTTCTGTGCACACTACGCGCAGCCCAAGGCCGTGAGTGCTCCTCCTCCAGCAGCCCTCGTGCTCTGACACGCAGCTTTCACAGGCCAAGGCCTCGCTTAGTGAGTGCAAGAGCACTCATCCATGGGACTCTGCCTCTCCCGTTCAGAAATTGTAGCAAGGGAAGTGTCACACTGGCTGGGACCTCTAGGGGAAGTAGAATACCAACCGTCTCCTGAGCAAGGACATAGGCCACCCAAGGGATGCACAGCTCCTCCATGAGGTTAATAAATAAAAGGAAGAAAAGAACAAATCAGCATAGATTAAAAGTTCCACAGGGGGAAATGGTGGTCAGTAGGCTAAACTGCTTCATTAGCAAAAAAAAAAAAAAAAATCAAAAGAATGGGGGATAGATGAGTTTATGAGGGTAGTGGCTAGGCAGGAACACTTCTTTGATCTCAGTTAAACACAGAAACCTGCCCACAGCCCATGTGTCATCCCTGCCCCTACAGAGGTTGCCTGCAGGGACAGGTGCCCCCTCTTCTCCCTATCAGGCAAGCCTAGTACTGACCCTCCCAGCAGCCACCACGTGGTGGTGGGGGAACCTGCAGGATAACAGGTGAGAAGCCCATGTGGTCACACAGGCCTCTGTCCACTGCAGCTGTGTCTGCATGTTTATAGCAGGTGTAGGAAGGCTGAGAGGCAGCTCCCTGCCAAGGGCGTGTCCATGGATGTGGCCTTCTGCTTGAGCCTGTATGTGTTGCTTCCTCCTCTCAGACCCTGTCAGTTGCTATTCTCTCAGGCTCTGGTGGACTGGGAAAATGGACTCAGGCTGCCTATAGCTGGGACGTGCACTGATTGAGGTCATCTGCCCCATGCAGGTATATGCTGTGGAGGCCAGTGAGATGGCCCAGCACACAGGCCAGCTGGTCATGCAGAATGGCTTTGCAGATATCATCACTGTGTTCCAGCAGAAGGTGGAGGATGTGGTGCTGCCCGAGAAGGTGGACGTACTGGTGTCTGAGTGGATGGGGACATGCCTGCTGGTAAGGGGTATGGGGGTGAGGGGTGGAGCCTGGGGCCTGCAGGTTGCTGTGGCTGACTGGATGGCTGGGGTGGGGGTGGGGTGGTGTCTATGGAATCTTCACAAAGCATGGTTAAATCAGACACTCTGCTAAGGTGAAGTATAATTCATTTATTCTGTAGATACCTGGCAATTCCTGTGGCTTACTCCTGGCTCTGTATTCAGGGGTCATTCTGGGTGGGCTCAGGGGACCAAATGTGGAGCTGGGGATCGAACCTGGGTAGACTGCAGCAAGCCAAGCATCCTACCTGCTGTGTTATCAATCCAGCCCTGGTATTTTGTATTTTTAACTGATTTGACAAATGCCTTTATGAGAAGTATAAGCAAAGACGTCTGAGCAATGGTAGAAACCCTGCAGATCGCCAGTTCCAGTGTGTGAGAGACTTGGGACAGCTGTGGACTCTTACCTCTCAGTAATATTAGTGATGGGATTAAGAGAACAGGCTTTCTTTGAGTGCTGGGTTTACTCTTCTATTTTTGTCAGTGCTTTTCTGAGTGTTGTGAATTTTTCTGTAATGAACCTGTATCACTTCTAGAGTAAAGCCTGCCTGTGTTGGGCCAGAGCAATCATACAGCAGGTAGGGTACCTACCTTGTATGCAGTCCACCTGGGTTTGATTCCTGGCATCCCATATGGTTCCCCAAGACACCCAGCAATGATCCCTGAGCACAGAGCCAGAACTAAGCCCTGATACCGCCAGGTATGGCCCAAAACCAATAAATGAATATTCCTGCTGTCACTATCACTGTCCTCCCATTGTTCATCGATTTTCTCAAGCGGGTCCAGTAACACCTCCATTGTGAGACTTTGTTGTTACTGTGTTTAGCATATCAAATACATCACAGGGAGCTTGCCAGGCTTTGCTGTGTGGGCGAGATACTCTCGGTAGCTTGCTGGGCTACCGAGATACTCCGAGAGGGGCGGAGGAATTGAACTCAGGTTGGCCATATTGGCCACTTGCAAGGCAAACGCCCTACCCACTGTGCTATTGCTCCTGCATCATTTATAAACACAGAACCCTCCCTCAGCTCATTCTTGAAAACCCTTACCTGCCACCTCTGCTCTTACTGTGGATATCCCTGCTCAGGTTACACATGGATGTCCATGGCTCCCAGCTATAATGTCTTGTGCCAGGACAAACTGGTTTCTTTCAGCAATGAAACCTGCAGAACTTGGGCTCTGTCATATGGTTGGTGCCTGAGGTTGGTGGGATGCACTCGAGGGCTTTTCTGACCTTCTTCACCCAGTTTTTAATTATCATATGAAAAGGTGGGGACACAGACACACAGGTGTGGAGTGAGACAGTCAGTGCAGCTCACTGAGCAACACTTGCTTCTGGTGGCAGGTCTGTGCAGGCACAGCCTGGTCATTGTTGCCTGTGGTATTTCTGTACAGACACAGCCCCAGTCACTGTTTATCTGTCTTTTGTCTTTCCCTTGGTGCAGTTCGAGTTCATGATTGAGTCCATCCTCTATGCCCGGGATGCATGGCTGAAGGAGGACGGGATCATCTGGCCAACCACAGCTGCACTGCACTTGGTGCCCTGCAGTGCAGACCGGGACTATCGCAGCAAGGTTCTCTTCTGGGACAATGCCTATGAGTTCGACCTCAGTGCCCTCAAGTGAGTGCAGTGTTGAGCGCAGGGCCTCTGGGACAGGTGACTGGGAGAGAGTTGCTTGCTCCTTTCACTCTACACTGAAATTCGGTCTGTGGTGCTTTTAAGTTTTCTGTGTGAATATGTGCATACCTGTTGGGATCAGTCTGGGGGTCCTGCTTCTAGTCCTAGTGGGACGGAAGTGTGGGGCTTCCACTGCTCATGAGAACCTTGCCATGTTGGCATCTATCCATGAAAATGCCACAGTCACAACTTAGACAGACAGTGCCTTGTTAGATCTTCAAGTCTATTAGAAAAAGATGAACACAGGGCTAGAGAGATAGTGCAGTGGGTAGGGTATTTGCCTTGCATGTGCTACACCTGGGTTTCTGGGTTTTATCCCTGACATCCCATATGGTCCTTTGAACACTGACAGGAGTGACCCAAAAACAAAAACAAAAAAAAAAGATGTGTACTCGGATAAAAGTAGCCAATCATGTGAGCACTAAGATCATAAAAAGAATATAAAGGTTTCCAGTATGTATCAGACTGTAGCATTGGTCATAATTGGAATGTAATATAAAATCAGTGCTGTTTTGCCCATGAGACCAGCACGGACTGAAAGTAGATCCTGTGCCACAGAGCTGAGGTGTGGGGCCTTTCCATGGACATCCAGGTGTCACCTTCAGAGCCTGTAGCTGAGATGTGCCATAGGACATGTCCTGCTCCCCAAACCCACAGCCCTGGAAGAAAAGCCTGTTGTGTGCTGGGTGCAGTTTCCGTCGGTGAACTGTTCCAGTTGCTTTTAGGAATGTCTGATGATTCTATAGTGTTAGGTACTGGAAGGACACAAGCCCTTTATACAGAATGGCTCATATTTTTCCTGCACAAAAATGTGTTCTGGGGCCAGAGAGCTAGTACAGTGGGGTGGGCATCTGCCTTGCACATGAGGGACTCAGGTTTTATCCCTGACACTACATGTGGTCCCCTGAGCCCACCAGGAGTGATTCCTAAGTGCAGAGCAGGTGTAACCTTAGAGCTCTACAGGATGTACCCCCAACCACACCCCCAGTCTTTCGCAGTAAGAGACCTAGGGTAGTGGGCAAGGTTCTTGCTTTGCATGGGGCTGACTCTGATCATAAAATGGTTTTTTTTTTTATCCATTGCTCTCTGAATGTGCTCACCCTGCAGTTCCCAGTGGGAAACCCATCTGTGTGTCGTCCTGGGGGCAACACTCACTCTCCCTCCCTCTGAGACAGTGGGGCCACACACACAGTATATCTTTGGGGGAGAATAATGGTTATGAAAATGCTGAGGTGTATGGAAAAACTAAATTCTTTTTTGTCTTTTCCAAATTCTCTGAATATCATTTTTATTGGAAGAAAATTGAAAATCAGTATATATGTTAGAATTTTTAAAATGTATCTTATTTGTTATATCTGAGTTACTCTAGCTTTTAGTATTTGGAACATGAGAAACTATGGACAATGAGAAACTTTTCTGGATAATGTGGGATTAGTTCAGCCTGTGGGATGAGGCTCTAGATCATGTGTGGAGGGGTCACGTGGCAGGTATGCTTTCTGTTCTCCTGTGTTTGTTAGTACTGCTGTTGAGTGACCCCAAACAGGGCGAGTTTGGGGCCTCCAGAAGTCCATAAACAGATTCTAAAACCAAAGGCAGCATACCCAACCTAATCACGGCAGATGTGGTGACTATTGCTTCTAAATGTGATACACTTAAACTTTTGCCCTGGAGGCCCAGGTGAAGTTACCCTGGCATGACCCTGGGCCTCAACAAGATGTGGATATTTGTCGTAAGAGCCACAATTTTATTTCTCCCTAGATCCTTAGCAATCAAGGAGTTCTTTTCGAAGCCCAAATATAATCATATTTTGAAGCCTGAAGACTGTCTTTCTGACCCATCCACAATACTTCAGTTGGACATGAGGACTGTGCAGATCGCTGATCTGGAGGTAAGCAAAGAGGATAGCTTCCTCGCACACCAGCGGCCCGGTCATGCGCCTGTTCAGACACATTCATGTGTCTGTGGTCTTTTCACTGCTGATTTCCAGTCCAGTCTGTCTTGTATTTCCTGTCCTTCTGTTTTTCTCTCTCAGTGGTTATTTTTGTGATGTCTGGCATGAAACCCACTATCTCACAGACATGTACAGTAGTGAGTCACATACCTAGTACCAATGTTTTCTTACATTTTATTTTTGTTTTGTGGCCACACCCAGCAGAGCACGAGGCTTACTCTTTGATTGGTATTCGGGGATCACTCCTGGTAGTGCTCAGGGGACCATGTGTGATGACAGGGGTTGAACCTGGGTCGGTCACATGCAAGGCAAGTGTCCTGCCCACTGTTCTGTTGCACGAGCCCCTTGCCGATGCTGTCTTTTTCTTATAGCTTCTCATTATATTATTTGTAGTTAACCCCTAAAACATCTTTGATTATTTTTGATTCATCATTAATGTTTGCACTATCTTCAGATTCAAATAATTGTTTTTATTGTACACTTTGAATAAATTATGTCCTAAGACACTTTACTCCATTGATGACAACATTCTTTTTTTTTTGCTTTTTGGGTCACACCCAGCGACACTCAGGGATTACTCCTGGCTCATGCACTCAGGAATTACTCCTGGCGGTGCTCGGGGACCATATGGGATGCTGGGAATTGAACCCAGGTCAGCCGCGTGCAAGGCAAACACCCTACCCTCTGTACTATCACTCCAGCCCCTGATGACAACATTCTTAAAATAGGTGTTTTCTCTCAGTTGCCTCCAGTTGGCTGGTGGCTTCAGGGGCCCACAGTTAGAGCTGTGCTCCAGGAAGGAGTTGAGATCACACCTGATAGATGGGCAGTCCTGAAACTTTATATATATGTGAGAATTGTATAGAGAAAGAAAGTATTCTGCACTACTTCAGAACAGAAAAAATCATGCAAATGAGACACAAAGTATTTCAAACCTTTTTTTTTTTATTTTCTGCAACATTTGCATTTAATGGTACAAGTTGTAACATATTTACTTTCCCTCAGAGAATTTTAAATTTCTTTATGTGGTTGGTGAAACCAGCATCTGTAGGTTGGTGTCATTATTGCTGGCAGATGGTGTGGCTGCCACATAGAGGAGGGGCTTTTCCTTGCTCGCAAACCCATTGGCCTCAGGTCACCTGCACATGGAATCTATGACTGTTTCTGGTTTCTCTGCCTGCACACAGACGTTGAAAGGTGAGCTGTGCTTTGATATCAAGAAAGCTGGCACTCTGCATGGATTCACAGCCTGGTTTAGTGTTCACTTTCAGAACCTGGAGGAGGATGAGCCACAGCTGGTGCTGAGCACAGGACCCTTTCACCCGTGAGTGTGACGTGGGGTGTGAGGAGATGCTCCGCTGCTTCACAGGGGCTCAGGGTGTCCACCAGAAAGAGGGTGGTGGGGCCAGACTGATAGTACAATGGGTAGGGTGTTTGCCTTGCATGTAGCCAACTCGAGTTCAATCATTGGCATCCCATATGGTCCCCAGAACCCTCCAGGAGCAATTCCTGGGTGCAGAGCCAGGAGTCAGCCCTGAACATTGCTGGGTATGACTCAAAAAGCAATAAAAAATAAACAGAAAGAGGGTGGTAAGCCTGGTGTGCAGCCATGAATGAAACCAAGGGGTGGTTCCTGGGAGGGCTGTCTGTGTCAGGGGACACTGGCCAGGGCTGTGTGTGTGAGGGCATGGGGGCAGGACTGTCTGTGAGGGGGTACAGGGCAGAACTGTCTGTGTAAGGGGCCACAGGGCAGGGTTGTGTGAGGGGGCACGATGCAGAGCTGTGTGAGGGGGCATAAGGCAGGACTGTGTGTGTGAGAGCATGGAGCAGGGCTGTCTGTGAGGTCGTAGGGGCAGGGTTGTCTGTGGGAGAGTTCAGGACAGGACTCTGAGGGGGTATGGGGCCGAGCTGTGTGTTGTAGGTATAGGGCAGGGCTGTGTTGGGCTAGACTGGGTCTCATGTTCCAGTACTTGTTCTTCAGTGCTCATGGGCGGGGCAGAGAAGCTTGGAAGTAGGAGAACCAACCTTGGTTCTTTTCATTTGCTTGAATGCTGCCAAAGCTTTTCTTGCTCTTACATAGAGAAGTCAGCAGATTGTAGGTCCTTCTGTCAGACTTGGGGGTAGGGAGTGGGGACGAATGCTGTTAGACAGACTTCTTGTGGGGGTGATGCTCTCTAGCTGCATACTTGTGCCCCATGGGGGAGCCTGACCTTGATAGTGCCAGACATAATATTTCCTGGGGAGTCCCTAATTCTCTTCTTTGTTTTGTTTTTTGGTTTTGGGCCACACTCTATGATGCTCATTGCTTATTCCTGAGTCTGCACTCTGAGGAATTATTGCTGCGTTTGCTCAGGGGACCATACAGGATGCTGGGAATCAAACCCAGGTTGGCTGTATGCAAGGCAGATGCCCCACCTGCTGTACTATCTCTCTGTCTGGCCTAAAGTCCCATCTCTGAAGTGCCCCTGGATCCCCTTGTACCTAGATGCCAGTTGCCAATGGAAGGTACATGGAAGTCATATAATATGAGTCAGACATTGGCTGTGGTATCTAGGCCAGAAGCAAGAAGATGGGGCTGCTGGCCACACTATCCTGTGACTTGATACCATCCAGCTTTCCATGGCCATGGATCAGCTGTGTGCTGTCTCCCAGGACAAGTATTATCTTCAGAGTGGTCCACTTGGGACCCCCAGGGCTGGGGCAGGAGGGTGATTGGAGTGGCCTGTTCAGTAAAGGGCCAGGCTGTGCAGGAGGTGACTGGGAAGACAGCTGTGGTGCTTCCTATGGGGGTGTGGCTGTGAGGCTCCTCCAGGCCTGTTGGTGGCCAGAGCCACCTGAGTCAGGAAACCTGGGGTGCCATTGTCTCCTGAATGTCACTGTCATCCTGCTTACATTCTGGATGACTTTCAGAGACATCATGACTCTTTGTGTAGATTGCGCTTTAAACATGCCAGCCACAGTTTAGAGAGTAGAGTGACTTTGGGGCACACTTCAGTGTATCTGGAGAAGGTCTCCCTGGGTGGGGACCAGGAAATAGTCACATTTCAGGAACTGTCTCAGTAATCGGGGTCCTTGTGGACACCCATCCTTGGGTTGGATGGAGTCAGCCCCTACTGGGCTGTGACCCCACATCCAATGTGGGATATGGGGTGGGTGGACCTCCAATGGAGCAGCAGTTCCCGACATGCATCCCCTTGTCACACAGCACCACTCACTGGAAGCAGGTGCTGTTCATGATGGATGAACCGGTGGCCGTCTGCGCAGGAGATGTGCTCACAGGCTCTGTTGTGCTGCAGAGAAACCCTGTGTGGAGGAGGCACATGTCTGTGGCTCTGAGTTGGTCTGTCACCTCCAGACAAGACCCCACAGCACAGAAGGTAAGGGATCACCAGGAATTGTGTGCCATGGTGCTGGTTGGGGACTGGGTCACGCCTTGTCTTTCTCAGGTCTACTGACAGGAAGTGGGAATAGTGCAGAGATGACTCAGGCTGCTAAGAGAGCAGAGACCCTTGGCCTCTCACTCTGCTTCCTGGTGGAAGGTGATGTGGTATATTCTGACTGATTGCACCTGGACAAAGGCTAAGACATGATGCAGTGGATTGGGATCACATCTTACAGAGGCTGCTGAAACGGGCTCTACTCTAGACTCAGGAGAGTGTAGGAGGGAAGAAAACCAGATAGCTGCTCTCTATTTCATTTTCTTATTTCCAGGCTATATGTGGTGGTGTGCAGGAGCTATTCCTGGCTTTGTACTCAGGAGTGACCCCCCGGTCGTGCTAAGGGGACTGTATTCAGTGCCAGCATTAAGATAGGGCCAGTGGGTTGCAAGATCTGCCTTAGCCTCGTAATGTTTTTCCATTCCTCCATTTGTTTTTGCTACTTGTTTCATGCTCTGCTTTACCTTTTTTTTTTTTGATGGGGGTTGGGACAACACCCAGTGGTACTCAGGGCTTACTCTTGACTTTCCACTAAAGGTCTCTTATGAGGTACTTGGGATTGAACCTGGGTCATCCGTGTGCAGGGCAAGTGTCTTACCCACTGTACTATTTCTCCAGCCTTGTTTTATAATCTTTTAATTTTAAGAGTTGAAGTGTTAGGTTAGGGAAATAACTCAAAGGGCTGCAGTGCATGCTTTAAGTGTGGACTGCCCAGGTCCTTGAGCACTGCTGGAATGAGCCATAAGTATACAGCCAGAAGTAAGCCCTGAATAGTGCCACTTGTAACCCAAAAACAAACAAACCCCCCAAACATTTCTGTATTTGGGGGTGGATGGATAACAGAGGGGGTTAAGGGAACCCAGTTCTGCCGCTGGCATTGCATACTCCTTTCCTACACTGAATGTGGACATGGTGGTCCTAGCACTGCAGAGTCTGAGCAGCACCATCTTGGCAGGTTTTTGCAGAACCATCAGGCCTAGTTGGCTGAATATTGTGGGAGTGAACCCAAGGCCCCTGAGCATTGCTTGAGAGCCACGCCTCCCGTTCCCCCATTTCTGAACCTGAGTGCCATTTTCTTTTCTGATGGTAAATTATTAGGAAATACTGTGTGTATATCTAGCCAAAATGGATTGTTATTGATTGGGTTATCTTTGGTCTCTTTCAGGCTGGAGAAAAAGTCTTTCCAATCTGGAGATGACAGGCCAAGTTGTGCTGGGAAGAACGAGTGTGAGTGGGTGGGGATTTTTCCTGGACACCACAACCTCTCTCCCAGGCAGTGCTGACCCTTCATCTGTGGGTGCGTGCCATCGTCAGAGTCACTGTGGAGATGCACTTGGGCTTGGCGGGACTGCCAGCCTCTGGTCCCTTGTGTTTGTCCTTTAGAAGTAGACTGTGTCCCCTGTATTCACCAGTGGCTCAGTGTCCCTCAGCTAGTCTAGTCTGAATCCTGGGACACACACAACAGCCTTGTCCACCGTGAAAGTGACTTTCCTCCACATGTGTCAGTGGTGTCCTTACTGCCCGTCCATTCTCTCACCATGCAGAATGTGGGGCACAAAAATCCATGCGGGAGCCAGTGTTGGCCATGCATGTGGTGGGACTCTGCATGAGATCCTTGTAGAGATGTCTTCCAAGTAAATCACGTGTTGGCACATAATCCATGCTCAATAAATATTTTTAATACGTGGAGGTTGGTATTTGTCCCGTATCTATGCATATATGTTGTTCTTTATAAGCACGGGATCATACTGTTGACATTGCTTTCTAAGATGTTTTCATCTACTGGAAGTGTGTTCTAATCCTCCTTCCCCACCCTCGTTGTTCTGTCCAGATGCCCACTTGGTTGCAGTGCACTGGGATCACAGGTATGTTGCTGGGGATCACAAGGGCAGTGCCACCAGGATGGCCCTTGGATTGTGAATCAGTGTTGGGCATTGAACTTGGGCTCTCACACCTGCAGGGCAGGTGTCCTCTATTGTTGAGTCACGTGCCTGAACCCTACTTTTCATCAAAATAAAATATACACCCAAGCCGACACATATTCGCATATGCAAGTAGGCCCACATGTAACCGACACTCAGGCCAAGACACGGCAATATGAGAGAGGGCCCAAGTGCTCTGAGACCCAGCCAATAGGTGAGGCCAGACATCTGACTCTGGGTGACTTTTTTTTTTTCTTTTTTGGATCATACCTGGTGATGCACAGGGGTTACTCCTGGCTCTGCACTCAGGAATTACCCCTGGTGGTGCTCAGGGGACCATATGGGATGCTGGGAATCGAACCCGGGTCTGCCGCGTGCAAGGCAAACGCCCTACCCGCTGTGCTATTTCTTTTCCTGCTTTTTCTGCTTCTGAAGAGTGTTTGAATGAAATTATACATTGTGTATTTTCTATAGAGTGAATACCTGTGTTTTTCCAAAATCCATGTAGTGAAACCCACCTGAAATGTGAAATTTTTAGGGACTCTAGGCCCTTGGAGGAGAGTTGGTTAAGAAGGTTGAACTCTCTTGATGGGACTAATGCCCTCATTAAAACTAATGTCTCGGGGCTGGAGTGATAGCACAGCGGGTAGGGCGTTTGCCTTGCACGCAACCAACATGACCGACACAGGTTCGATTCCCAGCACCCCATATGGTCCCCTGAGCACCGCCAGGAGCAATTCCTGAGTGCATGAGCCAGGAGTAACCCCTGAGCATCGCCAGGTGTGACCCAAAAAGCAAAAGAAAAAAACTAATATCTCAAAGGCAGGAGAGATGGTTCCATAGGCTGAGTGTGCACTCTGCATGCAGGAGCCCCAGGTTTGATTTATTGCACTGTGTGGTCCCATGGGCACCATTCATTGGGAACAGCCCTTGAGCACTGAACTGAGAGTTGCCCCTGAGCAGTGCTGAGTGTGTTCCCAAAATAGCAAAACAGAAACTGACTTCAGATGGTTCACTGGGTCTGCTGCCCTCTGATCCCTCTGAGTTGACACCTCCTCCCCACCAACTGCAGTGGAAGCAGAATCGCAGCAGATGGGGCTGGTGCCTTGATGTTGGGCCATGTAGCCTCTGAGAACTGTTGTTTTTGGTTTTGTTTGGTTTGGGGGCCATAGCTGGTGATGCTAAGGGCTTCTGACTCTGCACTCAGGGCTTTTCTGGCTCTGCGCTCAGGGATGACTCCTGGCAGTCTCAGGGAACATTATGGGGTGCTGGGGAAGAACCCATATGCAGGGCAAGTGCCCTAAAATAATAATTCTTTCCATAATCTCTACTCCAGCCTACTGCGAACTATTGCTGAAGCTGCCCAGTCCTTGGTATTTTTACCTGTGGCCAGAAGGGTCCAAACCATGTTCAGTAAGGCTTTGCCTGCTGTACATTTCTCACCTGGAAACCTCATCCTCCTCCGTGGTAGCTGGGCATTTCCAGTATGATTGATGCCTATGTAAATTCTTTGAAGTATTGATGTATGTGTGATAAGCATGTTTCTGCTGGGAATGACCGAGGAATTGGCTCCTCTGTTACACAGAACCAGCTCTTCAGATTCTGAGGTCCCTCCTACCAGGGAAGGAAAGTTCCATATCCTCATGGACACACAGTGTGGTGTGTGCTACATGGCTCCTTTATAGGCAATGATATGGTGCACAGGCAAGGATCAACACTTTGCCCTGAATTCGGCTCACCTGGCTGGCTATAGACATTGCCTTGGGGTGGGGGGTGGGGGGCCTGGTCCAGTCCTGGGTCTCTTTATTGGACAGTGTTAATCTCTTTTATCTACCTTGCAGAATTCTTTTCATAATCTGAGTTGGAGTATCCTTTATCATATACTTACTTTGTAACTGGCTTGTACTCTGTTTTAACCTATTAGACTAGCACAGCGGTAGGGCGTTTACCTTGCACGCAGCCAGCCTGGCCAAGCCAGGTTCGATTCCTCCGCCCCTCTCAGAGAGCCTGGCAAGCTACCGAGAATATTCAATATACCAAACACAGTAACAAGAAATCTCACAATGGAGACGTTACTGGGCCCGCTCAAGCAAATAGATGAACAAAGGGAGGACAGTGACAGCAATTAGACTATTTGGATAAACAGAAGCTTCTCAGTTTTAAGCTCTCCAATTTGACATTTCTATTTTGTTGTCAGTGCTTTTCCTATCCTGTTTATTAAATCTTTGTATTTGGAGATCGTAAAGATACTGGGATTGGGTTGAGAGGGTAGTTCAGTGGGTTTTGATGCAGGAGGCTGGGTCCCACAGTACTGTCAGAGTGACCACCAAGCTCAGTGCCAGGAATAGTGCCTGAGCACCACTGGGTGTGGCCACAAAATAAATCCTGAGTTCCCAACAGATTTCCTTTCAAAGGAGGAACTAATCAGGATCAGAGGGGTGCTCACTTCCACGGAAGATGCCCTATGACTTCAGACATGCCATGATCATCACCGATGACCAGCAAATTTGGTACAAGAGTCTCCTATAAGGCAAAGGAAAAAAATGTTTCAATTGTAGGCAGAAAAGAGAACACACAGGATTGTGTTATGAAAGCACTTTTTTTCTTCCAGGAATGTTTATTGAGACACTGATTTACAAAGTTGTTCATAGTAGAGTCACTGTAGGCATAGAACATTCCAACACCTTGTCCCCACCACCAGTGTTCTCTGGTTCTCTCCCACCTCCCAGACTACCCCCTTGGCACACATATAGCAAATTTATTTCATAGTACTTGGTTCAATAAAACTTAAAGGAATGGCAAATAAAATTATCAGAAAATAAATTAATATGCCAGTTTGTGATGATGAATGTGATCTTTTTAACCTTTCTTAATCTAGAAGAGCACAACCATATGCACCATTAGTGAGTGCTACACTGAACGCCACATGACTGAATCTCCTTTCCTTTAAAGGAAAAATTTTTTTTAAATGTAGGAGTACTGCTATTTATTCAGCCACTGGTTAGCTGATTGAATTGTGCATGAACTCCACCTTACTTTTTTTTTTTATAATTTTATTTATTGAATCACCATGAGAGCAGTTACAAAACTTTCAGGTCTAAGTCTCAGTCATACAATGAAACACCCATACCTTCACCAGTGCCCATTCTCCACCCCCAACAACCCCAGTCTACCCCCATCCCACACCCTCCCTCCCCCTACCTGTGGGGCAAATGATTTCCACATTACTCTCTCTCTACTTTGATCACATTCAATATTTTGACACCAGACTCACCATTATTATTTGAGATTTTACCCCAACACTCAGATCTGCTGAAAAGGCAACAGTAGACAATTTTTTTTCTATTGCTTGTTATGAGTAACATATGATGTTGCATGGCTGCAGTAGTGGCCATGTGATTTTGAAATTCCAAAATTTTAACACTTAAATCTGGAGGGGTTTCTGCCCAAGCCTGCTGGGTTCCAAGGTTTGCTCCTGAGTCTCTGGGATCATAGCCGTTAAGCAGCTTGATCAGGAGCCAGAAAGGTCTTTTGTGGGCGATGACTTGGGGTCTCATTGGGGTGGGGAGGACAGGACCAGCTCCACCCCCATCCCATGAGCCCTGCGTGTCTCGTCACTGCGGGCCCAAATCTGACTGTCCAATGGCCTCTGAATGATGACGGCCACCGTGCCACCAGGGGTAGGCAGGCGGAGGGACAACACCCTTTCCCTCCTGGGGTGGCCCCGGCGACAGTAACCTACTGTGGGGTCCGGACGCATTTCTGCCAAAAGCCTCTGGGTTTTGAGATTTGTTTCTGAGTCTCTGGGATCATGGCCGTTAAGCAGCTTGATCAGGAGCCAGAGAGGCCGTTCATGGACGATGACTTGGGGTCTCGTTGGGATGGGGAGGACAGGACCAGCTCCACCCCCATCCCATGAGGCCCAACAAGTTTCGTCACTGCGGACCCAAGCCTGACTGTTCAATGGCCTCTTGAGGATGACGGCTGAGCCGCCAAGGGGGAGCAGGCGGAGTGACAACACCCTTTCCCCTCTGGGGTGGCCCAGCAACAGTAACCTATTGTGGGGTTCGACGCATTTCTGCCAAAAGCCACTGGGTTTTGAGACTTATTTCTGAGTCTCTGAGATCATGGCCATTAAGCAGCTTGATCAGGAGCCAGAGGGGCCGTTTGTGGGCGATGACTTGGGGTCTCGTTGGGGTGGGGAGGACAGGACCGGCTCCACCTCTATCCCGTGAGGTCCTGCGTGTCTCGTCACTGCAGGCCCAAACCTGACTGTCCAGTGGCCTCTGGAGGATGGCAGCCACCGGGCCGCCAGAGGGAACAGGCCAAGGCACGAAACCTATTCCCACCTGGGTTGGCCCAGCACCGGTAACCTACTGCAGGGACCGGACACATTTTTGTCAAAAACCGCTGGGTTTTGAGATTTGTTTCTGAGTCTCTGGAATCATAGCCATTAAGCAGTTCAATCAGGAACCAGAGAGGCCATGCCTCCAATTATATAGCTGAGCCGGAGGTGGTTTGTGGGTGTGTTTCCCACATACCTAACTTTTGGCCGTTTACTTTCTTGGTAAACTTTGCCCCAAGTTTTTGGGGTCTGGCCAAAGGCACAGCAGCAATTTTGGGGTATCTGGAAGTCTGAAGGCACCATCAATCTAACAGATACAGATTGACCTGCTGGCGGCACCATACCCCCTAAAGGAAATCTTTTAATGCTTCTTGCAAAACTGGTTTCAAGGCTATGACTTCCAACATTAAGCTGTTTGCC